CAAATACAATACCAAAGAGAGGAAAACACAAGTACAAATGCAAACACAAACATATCTAAACATATATATGTGTATATATGTATATATATATATATATATATATATATAAACAAAGAAAAAGCAAAAAAAAAAAGATCTTTAAAAACATACAGCTAAGAACCTATCACTAGTGGAGAATTTGTTGCATGCGAACCAAACGGGTAGTTAACTCTGGAAGAGTCATATCATCAAAAGGTGTAGCGGTTCTACTTCCTCGCTTGGGTGGTACCATAGATCCTCCATAGCGTCTGAGATGATCTTGTACTTCTTTCTTTGTGCTTATTGTATTCATGTGTTGTGTCCCCAATGCCCTAATAGGGGCGTTGGAGGAAGTGTGTGAGAAGACCGACGGGGAGCGCTCCTCAACCCACGCCGCATCTTCGCGTTCTTCGACACTTGTCGCTGTTTCTGCTGGAGTTCCGCTCGGCTCCTCGCCTCGCTGCTGCGCATTTCTCCTCTCCGTCGTTTCCACAGACGGCAGTGCGGCGCATGGACAACACGCACCCGCGGCTGCTCGACTGCGTTGTGATGTTCGTTGTAGTTGTGTGGGAACGATGCGGTGCCGATCGAGTCCCGGTGTGTACGGCGCCCCGCCGCGTCCCTCCGGCATTGGAATGCCCCGCGCTGTTGGGAACATCACACATCCCGCCGTTCCCGCCAGTCCGCGTTTCTGCAGAGCTGTGAGGGACTTGCCGGTCACTTCTCTGCGGGATTGTTGTTGTTGTTGTTCTGTTGGTTCCACTACAGATTTGGAGGGCACTTCTCCTTCTACTTCCGCTGATAACTGTTGCTGTTTGGCCTCTTCTTCGCGTGCGGCCTCTGCGGCCCTCACCCGTTCACGTCTGCGCAAAATAGCCGCTACACGCTGCGCATCCTCCTTACGAATAGTCTGCTCGTTGTTAAGGAATTGGTGCGTGAAGAAGAATTCAAACCGTGGACCACCATAGCGAACCATCTTCCTTTTCTAATAAGTACTCTGTTGTCTCAGCGGAGTAGTAACAACTACAGAAGAAAAGAATTCAAAAAGCAAAAAAAAAAAAATAA